CAGCGAGGATCAGCCCAGGCCAGAAGTAGTTCATCTATTCACAGATAAGCTTGGCAGACTAGGACAGAAAATTGACCCTGGTATCTTAAACTACATTCAGTAACACACCCCCTTTGAACCTGTAACCAGTGTAAACGGGTACAATTTATTGAAACCACCCAAAGCTTTGTAACTGGTTCACTTCTACATGTGTGAGAAGACATGTTAAATACTTTCAAGAAGGACAAACATCTATCCATCACAGAGCCTGATGGATAAATGTTTGTACTGTGCCATACAAGAAAACAGAATGGTTAAACACATCAACACATTTGGCTTTATTTAACTCAAATTATTGGGATTATCATATCAGAATATTACATGACACCTTCTTGGGCTAATAAACTTAATTCACTGATGAATTAATTAAATAAATATTTGCTGATTTCTTTGTGTATTAGGATAAATGCAGGAACATGTGAATTTTTAACTTTGATTGGAGTCATAAAGATTACTGCAAATTAAAATATTTGCAGTAATTCTTATAATGTTAGAGAACAGTTTTTAAAACAGCATTTATCGTGGTTTATAATATAGATTTATATAAATATATTTTCGAACGAGTTTTAAAAGCTGTCCTCTGAGAGTCTCAAAATAACTAATTAGCTCGTTGACATGTTTGGTTCACAGCATATTCTGTCTGCACCTCTTAAACACTCTCTCTATAGTTCTTTAATCACAGTAGATAATGTATTTGTAATTCTCACTGTAGTACTAAACATTGTATTTTTTTAACTACTTAAATTTATTTTTTATTTTTTAGTAATTAAGTATGTAACCCCATATCTGATCTGCAGGGAATATTTACCTTAAATTAAAAAGCTGGAACATCTTGAGATTTTCACTTGTTTATTTCAGTGCCAACATTTGACAGGAACGGATTAATCAGAATTGTCATTTTACGTTAAACCAGTTGATATAGTTACACTCTAATGAAGCTGTTACGTTGACATCAAGCAATTAGCGTGTTTTTATCCGGCTGCCAGCTGTGAGAGCAGCAGGTTACCTAGAGATAATCACACCCTCATGTCCAGCATAATCATTATGAAACATCAAAAACATGTTGGTTAGCCTCTCTTAAAGTACTTTGGCAGCTCTGACAGAGATTTTTGGTAACAAGTAGGGTTTTTTTTTTCACATGAATCAGGAATATAAATCAGTTTACTGTGTTTTACCGCTAACTACTTTTTTTTTCAGGTTACCTTGGCTACGCCAGCGGCTTTTCTCTCAGCTGCATGGTGTTCTTTCTGTCTTCAGTAAGTGCTCCCAGCTCTTACATTAAAGCAGCTATCTTGCACATATTTTCCTGATAACATCCCTGCTTTTCTCACTCTTGTTGTAGGTAACCTATAAGAAGTTTCAGATCCCTTGCCCTTTTGAAGATTTCTCAGTCAATAGCACCGTTGCACACCTTGGCTTGAATGATTCCAGCCACATCCATGGCAGCAGTGAGAGTTTGCTTCAAGAAGACAATGACTCACACTGCACCCCACGCATGTTCACCATCAATTCACAGGTGGGCATCTAAGCTAAAGAAATGTTGGCTAATTTCTTTGCTTTTAAACATTTATGTAGAGGTACTGAACATGAGTCTATGCACTGTTTCATAGACGGCGTATACAATCCCAATTTTGGCTTTTGCCTTTGTTTGCCACCCTGAGGTGCTACCCATCTACACTGAGCTACGCAAGTGAGTCATCCCACTTAACCTGCGGTATTTAACACAATCTCTGTGTAGAATGTGGCATTTGCATTTACTTTCCAATCTCTGATTTCAGTCCAACAAAGAAGAAGATGCAAAAGGTTTCCAACGTCTCCATCCTTGTCATGTACACCATGTACTTTCTGGCTGCTCTTTTTGGCTACCTGACTTTTTATGGTGAGAGCAGCTCTTGGAAAACCAAAAAAAAGTGGCCAATAGTAAATAAAGTTTTTCTAGTGCATTTGATCCAATCTAGAGCAGTATTTATTGACAGAATGGACTGTATACACAAAGCTTTTAAGCTGTGGTAACCTATAAATTAGATATTAGATATGTATTTTTCTAAGAAACCAGCTGGTAACAAAGTAATCATATTGGCCAGTTTGAACATTTTAAATCATAAAATGTTTAATCAGTTGCCTTAAGAACTTTATTTGAAAAACACTTTGTCTAATTTGACAAATAGAGATAAAAATCAATTCATATGAAGTACATAGCAGGTAAATGGGGCCAAGAACTTCACTAGAGACTCACCATGACTGATCCTCCAATGGTTCTACCAAGATAGACCAGCTTTAGCTGTCATGAATGTTATGAGTTAGACAGTGAGACAAGAAACACATTTTGGTTATGAGAATTAAAAACTATAATGGTAAAATCAAAGCAAACACACTTCTCATTGTGTAAGTAATATAGCCAAATAGCAATAATTTTTGTGTTTATTACAGCAGCAAGTCCAGTCTTATATTTATTTACCATCTTCCTTGTGTTTATGAATATGTCTGCTATTTTGATGTAGGGATTTCCTTTTGACAAACCAAGTTGTAGACAATGTATGTTAAAGAAATCAGATCAGATCATGTAAAGTTGGGTGCAAAGATGTGTTTTGAAGTAGATGAACAATACCAAGTAAAATATCAGGCAATGAGCTGCAAAAGGAGAGAAATCACAAATTGTCAAAAAAGTTCAATCTGTTCATTGTGTTTATGTGCTCTTCTTCAGCTTCATCTTTTTTATTTTCCTGCCTTTCTCTCAGCTTCATAAAGCAGCTCTTCTATGTGACCTGTGACAAACAGCAAATGCAATGGACTTGAATAATTTAAATTCCACCCAAACCTTAAATGCAAC